TTTTCAGAGCTCAGACTTGGTATTACTCTTTCGGGTTACCTGAGGGCTCTGCAGAAGATGTAAGTGTGGTAGCTGGTACTTTTAAAGACTGAGAGCTATGTATGAAAACCAATGCAAGTGCTGGTCTCTTGCTCTTGACAGAAATTAGAGTGTTTGACAGGACTGGATAAAACTACTTTCAACAACTTCCAGGGGGTGAAAAAGCTTTGGTTATTTTTAAACTAAAACTTAACAACTCAATAAACTTTTTTTTGTAAACTTAAAATAAAATCCCCCCAACACTTTTAAAAATGTTTCCAACTTTTAACAATCCCATTAACTTTAGAGTTAATTTAAATTTATTTGAAAGAGAAAATTATTTTATTGTCCACCCCAAAAAATGACAATTCATCACATTTACTTTGATTAAAAAAGGACTAAACTTTATTGACAAACTGCTGCAGACATTTTGACATAAGTTTAAGCTACCTATTTAGGCAGACTTACACATGTAGCATTTAATCTTCCGAGAACAAAATGGGAGGACGGTACAAATCCAATTAGGACTTTAACTTATGTACAAAGTGGATTTTGATTCCTTTTTCATTCAGCTGCAGTGTCCCTTTTTATATCATGCTAGTGTTGAGACATACTTGACTACCTTGGGAACAGTTCAATTTTGACAACCGTCAACTTAAAACCATCAGCTTTTGGTTCCATTATCCAGTGCCTACACTTTTTCATGGAGTGCAGACTGTCAGATGGACAAAATACTTTGTTACTTTAAATACTGACATTTTAATTATTAGTACTATTACTGAAAGAATGTGGCTAAGAGGCTCAGCATTAAATTCAAAATAAGTGGCCTGTCCCTCTCCCCCAATCAACCTCTGTAAAATCTATTCTTCCCCTAAGTATCTCTCAACACTGTATGTCTGGGGCTAGATTTCAAAACCCACATAATGAAAAAGTCAGTTTTACAAACCTAATTTTGTTGTTGTTGTATTTTAAGTCAATTAATGTTAAAAATTGCATCAACTATTTAATTCATGAGGATTTTCATATTAAAATTTAACCTTATAATTCAACCGCCATGTGCTTTTAAAGGTAACATTTTTAGAGACGTCTGAGCTCACTTTTACATGGTGGCACCTACTGCCGTTAACATTTGTGATTTTAAATCTTAAACAGCCCTGAATTTTGAAATGTAGCCTAGTTTGGGATTCTGCAACTACAACTTTACGGGATGCTTCAAATTAAAACTAAGAGAAAGTTAACAAGCCTTTACTTCAGAACCTTTAAGCAAGCAATGTCACTTTTGAAACTAACAGGTTTGTGGTTTTTTTTTTTAACTCAACTTTTTTTATTATAAAAGGTACACTTCTGTTTATATTTAAACAAAGAAAAAAAAGCATCTACACACTTAAAAAATTAATTCGATATTTCTAAATCTATTTTAACTCATTTTAAAATACTACATACAGAAGCCAGAATGCAGAGTTAAGAATGGAGGAAGGTGGGAAGAAGGGGACCACGAAGAAAAACACTTAGACAATTACTTGTCTGTTGTGGGTAAAGCAACAGGAATCCTGGGAGATACAAGAAATCAGTAACAACTTTGCTCATAATTGATATTTTCCCCTCCTGTTTGTTTTTAATAACGTCCATAAGGATGTTCTCTGTATGCTCCCTGTACTGGCCTAGCTGGAGGGGCCTTCAGAGATGGCCTGGTTCCATTCCAGTCATCTTGGCTGTAGGCTTCATAAGAATCCTGAACCTCCCCACGTCCATAGTCATAATATTCTGAATCCCCTTGGCTCTGGCTGTAAATAGCATTCGTAGCCTTCATAATTCTGTTCTGCGTATGTATCATCATATCCATATTCTTCATATGTTTCTGGCGCAGGGGGTGGAGGCAAAGGTATCCTCTGGATGCCCGCAGTCTGTGCTCTCGGTGCTGGAGCCCCCCTCACCATAGGTGGGGGTGGCACTCCTCTAGTCACAGTGGCACCTCTGGTGATGGCGCCTCTCACTGGGGTTCCACGCACCAAAGCCCCCCGAGGTGGTCCAACACCACGGCCCCTGGGAACAGGTGGAGGGGGAGGTACAGCTCCCCGGCCTCTGACTGGCACCCCACGTCCGCGAGAGGGCTCAGGTACTCCATTTAAGTATGATAGCTCTAGAAATTGTTCCTGGCAGATATCATCCATCATATCTGGTACAAGAAACTTCTTGATGTATAATCCTACTTTCCCCTTATTTAGAAGACAAATAATGATGATATCCTTACTGGTACAAGAAACTTCTTGACTTCTTCCATGGCATGGGCCATAAGAGCATAAGCCTCACATGGGGGTCCAAAGACTTCAATGAAGACATGTAGATCCATATTCAAATGTGCGTATTTGGGGTCTCCACCTTTGCGAAGTTCTTCTTCCTTGGTTTTGTCTCTCATTGAACCCTTTCCCAACACAGAGATCTTTGCGCCAGTCTCCTCTTGCAGTCTTTTGATTGTATTCCCTTGTGGTCCAAGAATCTTCCCCACAAAATTGAACTT